CAAGTAAGTACATGTTTACCCAATCCAAATGTTTTAATATACATATTAATATATTATATACAATATATTTATTTGTATCATAATGTATTGTTCATGATCACGCTTGCTAGATGCCTTTTTTCCATTATCGCACACTGCGCCTCGTGCGCTGGCTTTTGTTGTTGTTTGTGTTCGTCACAACTGAAATAGCGAGAAACGAGTATCCAGATGTTTACTAGCTTATATTATATAAGCTAACACATGCATATAAACTATGTTTGTTTGCGTTGCAGTCGTAGTTTATCATATAGAGCATATATAGATAGAGACTGACTGACTGTTAATTAGGCTAGCACAAAGGAAAAGAAAAGGTGGCTGGGTCATGCCCTCGCCCTTGAGTTGATGTGGGTTGATGGCTGGCGAGTCATCTGGGCTTCTTTGGAGTGCCTTTGGCTAGGACGTGTCTTGAAGGCATCAGGTGATCACCTTCCTAGAGTCTGGATTTGTTGCTGTAAAAGCCCTTTGTGCATCTGTGATAGCTGCTCATATTCTGAAACATAGTATACAGGAATGAGAGAAAGTAATTCAACACCATTAATACCTTTTTTAAGACTCCACACATTTAAAGACCTTTAAACCGCTTTTCAACCAGAAATGCTGGCGAGATTTATCTTATAGAATATTTACTAAATATTAAATGTAAGAAATTAATCCAAACTAAAACATTCGTAAACGGAAAACATGTATATTAAAATCTAGCCGATTCGACAGGTTGTCACGTATAGAGCAGCAGAATAATGGTTGCAGTAAACAAGCAGCAAGCTGTCAAATCTTAGTAGAATTCTACTGATTACATAACTACCTAGTGTTCTGATATTCACAACTTGAATACAGTCAAACTTTAGCATACAATGATACCTTGTACAAAAATAAATTATTTATTACCTTCCAAAGGAATCTAAGATTTTCTAATACTTTAAAGGCCCCTAAACTTCTCTACATTGACTTATCAACTCCCAACACCCTCTAAGACCCCACAGATGCCCTGTGTATGACTGACTGGGAGAAGCCTGTGTGGCATAGAACTGCTATAAAGCATCTCTAAATCAGAATTGTGTTACTTTGTGTCATCTATAAATAGAGAAGGGTGTGTGTGTGTGGGGGGGGGGGGGGTGCAGAGGGAGAATAATGCGCGTCAGAGCAATTTTGCTGTTGCAGAGGTGCAATGGTAGTCAGCATTGGAGCATTATGAGTGATAAATATAGTCAATAGTGATATGAAGAGTAAATAAAAGAGGGGCTCAGCTATAGCGCCGCTGCAGTGGTGCTATGGGTGAATGTAACTTGGCAGGGCGTCTCCTCTACTGTTGCAGAGGTGCACTGGTAGTCAGAGTAGTATAGTCATGCATGTTCCCGTAAGAACGTAAAGTCCTGTCGTTAGTGATATGTAGAGGTGAGAGTGAATATAAGGTCGGCTTGAGCATCGCTGCAGTTGGGCTATATGGGATTGTAGCTCAGCTGAGCGTCTCTGCTGCTGCACAGGTGCAGTGGGTCAGTGTGGAGGCAATGTGTGCTCCTGCATAAGCATATGCTGCTGTATTTATGCAGGGGAGTGTGATGATACTGGTATAGCAAGCTTATATATGAGCTTGATTAGAGCATTGCTGCTACGGCAATTGAAATTTGGGTGACCCCTAAATGGGTCAGAGCTGGTGAATAAGAGTGAATGGAAGTAAGGAACAATTGGAGTTTGGAGGGAAAATTAAAGGAAGAGGGAAAGAGGCCTAGAAAATGCATGTAGGTGGAGGTCTGCTGGAGAGGATCAGCTGGGCTTCCCTGATAAGGTTTTACTCTCTTGAGGGTTTGAAATGGGTGTGTGTGTGTGTTTGGTGGTGGTGGGGGGGCGGAAGGGAGTTTTTCATCCTGCAAAGTTAGATCAGCTATGCTGTGGTATAATGTTGGATGAAATTTAAATGTTAGCTCAGAACATCTCAAAATCAAAGTCTAGAGTGAATATGGCATTAAGGGTGTGGGCTGAAGATGAATTTGCATACGTGAATCAGAAACATTTCCATTCAATAAATGTGCAAATAAAATATGATGCACAGACTTATTAATGATTCCTACTTGTCTTCTTCGTGATAAATAGTAGGCAAAATCTGATATGCAGTGGGGGAAAAGAAGGAAAATGAGTTCATCAGACGCTGGATTCGAACTGAGTTCATGCTCTTGCATTTTATGAGCTGCGCCACAGAGACTGTTAGGAGTACTGCAACATTTTACACATATAAATCACACTTTTCCTGTTTACTTCACTCAGTGCGATGTTCAGACCCAACTGTGTTAACCGCATCAGCTAAACTCTCCCACTCAATTTTTTTCTTCTTTTGTTATTAATTCCGGTGGACAAACAAATAACACCAAATAACACCATTTTTCTCCGGTCTACCTCCGAAAGGAGCACCTCTAATTCACATTCTGTTCAAAGTTTCTCTTTTCGCATGCTTTTGCCATTGCTTTTTCCTTTGGTTTTGCCAAAGTAGAGTCATTAGCATATTCAGGAGGCAGGGAGGGGTTTTGCGCTCGTGCATGTTGCGCTCAGTTTTACGTTCATTTGGATGTACAAAAGAATATGCGTGGGATTTAGCGTACGCAGTGTTTCATACTGAATTTCATACTTCTGAAAAATGTACACATTTACAGCTTTGTGCGTACGCAACGTTTTAGTATGATTTCCACGCAAGTCTTCGTACATGAGGCCCCTGATGTGCCAGCGTCTTGCGGGAATTCAGGCTCGATTGCAGGCGAGGCATCGGGTGAAGTTTTGAGGAGAGCGGGGTTCTGGCTGGAGGAGTTGTTGTTTGTTTGTTTGTTTTTCATGTCGGAAGGTTAAATGATGCTGAACCGTAGGTTAAATGCTGGAGCATTTGTAGTGGGAAGCATTCTTCCAAAACGAAGATAGAGCAATAAGGAGAAAGTGATCCATTTATATTAAGCTAGGATCACTCTGATTGGATTATTACTGATTACGGATGTGTGGCCAGCAGTGCTCAATCATATCACGTGCTCCTCTCGAAATTAGTTTATGAAACATCTCTTAAGCTGCATCGAATGAGCGAAACTCTGTAGACACTGATCAGACCTGTACGGTTTCTCTCCAGTGTGAATCCTCTATTGTGTTTTCAGATGTGTTAAGTGCTTAAACCTCTTGTCACATTGTAAACACTTGTACGGTCTCTCCAGTGTGAATCGTCTCGTGCAGTTAAAATTTTGGAGCTGTAATAAAAGTCTTCTCACACTCAAAGCACATATACTCTTTCACACCAGTGTGGATCTTCATGTGGTCATTAAAGTTTGCTGATTGGTTGAAACTCTTTCCACACTGACTAGATGTCAATTGTTTTTCTCCAGTGTGGGTCTTCATGCGTTTATTAAGGTCTGAGGAGTTGCTGAAACTCTTTCCACACCGAAGCTGCGGTCACATTAGAGTTTGAGCATGGAAAATTCTGTTGTACGGCACAGCAAAAAGGGGCGGGATTAAACAAGATTTTTAGACATTAAAAAGGTGAGCGTTTGGTCCATATTTTATATTTCTGTCCAGAGAAGTCATGTTTTAATCTTCGATAGGTCTCACACTGTCAAGTGATGTGATTTCGCAGGTCAGAGTTCACCAAGCTTGAACTTTGCAATGCAGTGAACTGCAAAACTGCACAAACTTGCATTTCCGGTCTGACGCATTTGTGTGCGTATGAATGGAAATCTATGGGGAGAAAAGTCCAGTGTGACCGTGGCTTAAGTGCAAGTGAATGGTTTCTCTACAGTACGGCTCATCATGTTTTAGGGAATCAACCTACATTTTAAGATCGATCAGGGTTTATTAGCTTATTTCAATGTACCGGATCTTAAAGATTTGAATCATTGATTTGACTCAATTGAGTCAGACTGAATCAGGTTAAAAGATTCACACTTTATTTACCATTTGTCCTGCAAATAGAAGTCATCGTATCTTACCAATCTTGTTAATATTATTTACGTGGCCAACGATAATAACATAACACAGTATTGAGTTAACTTTTAGCAAGGTAACAAGATCTACAGCTCGAGGCAATGACTTAGAAACACATAAACAAGAACACAGTTCTTACAAAATGAGAAAAAAAATTTATTGAGCTACACTACGATACATGAAACTAACTACGTAATAAGCAAACAACAAACAAACTCGCACACACAGAGGCAGGTTAGAGGATATAAAATGATTTGACAAACATCCTAAATTAATTCTAATACCTCTAACAAGATCTTAGAATAACACCTGAGAAACCACAAAAGCAGAGATATGGCTTATCTTTAACTGTTTACGATCAATCTGCACCAGATCAGTAAGAGACAACGTTTGTTTGTTACTTGCACTTTTGCTGAAGATGAATCTCCCTCGCCAGCTGGCCTTGGGGAAACACGGTGCTCCTGATTGGCTGGTGGCTTCTGTGACGTCCTTGGAATTCCCCCGCTCGTGGGTGGGTAGTTCTGGGTTACTGAGGTGACGGACTGCTGAAAGTCGGTTTGCGGAAGTTCGTGCGGTTTCAAAGCAAAGTTTCTTTGTTGCAGGGTGTTTTTAAGTGACCTGGTCTGATCCATCCCTATGACACTGTCTGCCAATGAGCAGTTGCCATGAAGGGCGGGGCCACACCGCGTGCCCACGTAGAAAAGGTCAATCATTAACAGACTGCATGTAGATTTTACATGGTAAAACTCTTGCAAGATTGAAACTATCTTACATCAAATGTTACAAGACAAATACTGTTTGTACTACTAGTTCTCATTTACACCAACATAGGGCTGGGCGATTTGGCAAAAAAAAAATCTAGGTTTTTTTATAAAGTTTGACCGATTCACGATTTCGATTTTTTTTTTTTATTGTGTTACTAGCCTTCTCAAAACATTACAACAACATGACTGAAGTAACACTCTCTTTAAAAGTAACTTTAACCATCTGGTTAAGGAACATTGTATTTTTAATGGCCATGTCATACAAAAATCGGTCAAGGTGTAAATAAATGTTAAACAAATTAACGAGTTAAATAGGGTTGCTGACGATTTAAATAAGAAATATTTGTGTAAATATTGTTTTTGCAGGAATACAAAGGGATTTTTTGCATGTTTTACTGGCCCTCACCTCTGCTTGTGTTCAAACCAAAAGATCGGCGCAGTTTTTCACATGGCAGGCTTTTACATCCTTCAAACATGTTGAGATCTAGTTTATCGACTTGATAAGGTAATATGTCTTGACAATACACACAGACGTGACTCAGACTAATGCAACAAGTAAAATCCTACATGACATCACGTTTTAACAGAAAGTCAAGCAGGTCGGACACCAGAAGCACCGCGACACATGACAGTTTAAAGTATCACACCCCAGACGCGCACATTCGCATAATGTTTAACATGAAACTAATCAGATGGCGCTCTGTGGCGCGGCTGAAATATGACCTGCGTCCTGAATCGTGGTGCGGCGAGTCACCGAGAGGCGCTTCTGGTGTGCTTCCAGCTTCATACAGAGTGAACCAAAGCGCATTGCCATTATAATGTATTAAATATATATATATATATTTTTTTTTTTAAAATCGCAATTTCTCAATTTGATTCAAAATTAAATCGTCTGAAAACGTAAATTCGAATTAATCTGAAAAAAAATTTGAAAAATCGCCCAGCCTTACATCAACAGATTGCAAATGTCACTACCTTTCATTCAAGACCAGATATCATACATTTCAGACAAATACAGATCAATTTATTCTGCTTTAAGGGTTAAAACAACACATCGATTAACCTGGTTGATTGAAATAACCACAGCATATGAGGAACATTATGGTTTATTATTTAAAGATACATCTGCCTTAGTTCTAACATTTTAAGAGATTGTCTTTCATTTGTATGCATTAATGTTTCTAGAGATTTTTTGTCTCTACAAAATTGTGCATCTGACAGGATGTGCCCAAAGCACATGACCATGTAGAGGAGTCATTCAAAAGTCTCGTGAGGCGGTTTCTGCTGAAAATCCTGTAAAGCCCCTTTATTTAGTTTAAATCATTTACTAATTTTGCTGAAGGGTACCTGGAACATTTGCGGCCAAAGTATTGGTCAGAATAACCCAAAATCAATTGGTGCTTTGTTATCGTGATGGTTTAAGCCCTTAAGCCAGTTCAATGACTGAGACAATTTGCAGATGCCCAAGATTTCAGATTCAACTCGTGTTGACCACTGCAATATGCCCATGAGTTCCTTCAACGTGTTTATAAAAGAATGATGATTTGCTAAAACTCTCCCCACACTGAGTGCATGTGAATGGTTTCTCTCCAGTGTGGATCATCATGTGATAATTAAAGGATGATGATTGGATGAAACTCTTCCCGCACTGAGTGCATGTGAATGGTTTCTCTCCAGTGTGGATCTTTATGTGTTGATTAAGGTGTGATGAGCAGTTAAAACTTTTTCCACAATGAGTGCATGTGAATGGTTTCTCTCCAGTGTGGACCCTCATGTGTTGATTAAGGGATGATGACTGGATGAAACTCTTCCCGCACTGAGTGCATGTGAATGGTTTCTCTCCAGTGTGGATCTTCATGTGTTGATTAAGGTGTGATGAGCAGTTAAAAGTCTTCCCACACTGAGTGCATGTGAATGGTTTCTCTCCAGTGTGGATCATCATGTGATAATTAAGGTGTGATGATCTGTTGAAACTCTTCCCACACTGAGTGCATGTAAATGGTTTCTCTCCAGTGTGGATCATCATGTGATAATTAAGGTGTGATAATCTGTTGAAACTCTTCCCACACTGAGTGCATGTGAATGGTTTAGCTCCAGTGTGGATCCTCATGTGGTGATTAAGGTTTGATGATTGGTTGAAACTCTTCCCACACTGAGTGCATGTGAATGGTTTCTCTCCAGTGTGGATCCTCATGTGATAATTAAGGTGTGATGATCTGTTGAAACTCTTCCCACACTGAGTGCATGTGAATGGTTTAGCTCCAGTGTGGATCATCATGTGGTGATTAAGGTTTGATGATTGGTTGAAACTCTTCCCACATTGAGTGCATGTGAATGGTTTCTCTCCAGTGTGGATCATCATGTGAATCTTAAGTTTGCATTTGCTTGCCAAACTCTTTCCACACTGAGTGCAGGTGAAACGATTCTTGTCTCTCCTTTTTAAAACACCATCAGTCTGTAAATGAGTTTTTTCCTCAATTTTGACATAATGTTTCTCCTCTTTACTCCCCTCATTCTCTTCAATTAGGCCTGAAATAAATAAAACATTAGTTTTCATTAAGTCTTAAAACTCTCATCAAAAGCTGAAAAGTGAAAAGACACTGGAAACGTTCGAGGTTACTAAAGTAACCCTTCGTTCCCCGAGGAGGGGAACGGAAGCACTATAAGTGGATTTGATGTTCTAAATCCACGTATGGGAGGATTCGGTTCAGAAGCCGCTCGTCTGAAAGAGTATTGAACGGGCCAATGAAAGCAATGAATTGGCAGCGCAAGCCTGCGCAGGTGTACTGCATAGCCAATTAACTGAGCATATAAGCACACCTGGCGGCAGCAGACGCTATCCTTTTTAAGCTGAAGAGACTTTTAACAGCTAAGGGACAGTCATTATGGCGACGGAGTATAGTGCTTCCGTTCCCCTCCTTGGGGAACGAAGGGTTACTTTAGTAACCTCGAACGTTCCCCTTCGGGGGAAACTCCAGCACTAAGTGGATTTGATGTTCTAAATCCACGTATGGGAGCCCATTGAAAGCGCCATAATGACTGCACCTTACCAACACCCATCATGAGAGGGCAGTCAGGCAAGCGTGACGCACCCAGATCATGAGAGGCGCGGTCCTCCAACGTGCCCTTGGCCCTAACTTATCCCACTTCAAAAGAAGCTTTACGGAATAGGTATATTTTTTTGGGAGTTGCTAGCGTCTAGATAATTCTAGGAATATACAACAGTACGTTGGGAAGCATGTCATCCCAGTAGGGAGGACGCTGTGGAGACCATCCGCACCCAATAGGGAAACAAATGGAATTAGATATGGACTAACCCTGAGAAGGAGGAGTGCGCATAAGAAGGTGGTTAGCAGATAGGGAAAGCACGGGTCCACCCAGGGGGGGGAACTTAACCGTGGCAGAAAAGCATATGGGGATCACCAGCGGGGATCAGCCATAGCAGGCACCTATACCCAAAACACGGACTGACCAGCGGGCAGACCTAAAACGTAGTGGGCCAGCAAGTGACTCCTCTGCTGAGTCAGTGCTGGGGGCCTCGGAGGAATCTGCAGGGCTCACCGAATGGGGAACTTTACTGACAGACAGGAGGGTGCACATCTCTCCGTGTTCGGGAAAAAAAGGCACCACAAGCATGCTACAACACCTACCGAGTTGTTTCCTCAATCACCAAAGGTCCCTAACACCCTTGAGGAAACCGGCTCCACTCGCAGATTATAAAACCTTGCAAATGTGTTGGGTGTCGCCCAGCCCGCATCTCTACAAATGTCTGTTAAAGAAGCGCCGCGCGCACACGCCCAAGAGGATGCAATGCTCCGAGTGGAGTGCGCACGCACTCCAGGGGGGAATGGCTGACCTCTGCTCAAATAAGCACATGAAATGGCCTCCACAATCCAGTGGGATAAACGTTGTTTAGACACGGCACTTCCCTGCTGCCGTCCGCCATAACACACAAAGAGCTGCTCAGAAGATCTAAAGTTCTGAGTACGGTCCACATAAATGCGCAGGGCGTGAACTGGACAAAGTAAGGACAGGGCTGGGTCTGCCTCCTCCAGGGGCAGCGCTTGCAGGGTTACTACCTGATCTCTAAAGGGAGTGGTAGGAACTTTGGGCACATAACCCGGGTGGGGTCTAAGGATAACGTGAGAAAAATCCGGCCCGAATTCCAGGCACGAGTCACTGACCGAAAATGCCTCCAGGTCCCCGACCCTCTTAATGAAGGCCAACGCGACCAGCAGAGCTGTCTTCAGGGACAGAAATCTTAAAGATACTGTATGGAGTGGCTCGAAGGGATCAAATCGCAGGCTCGTGAGAACGAGGGCGAGATCCCAAGAGGGCGTGAGAGGGGGGCGAGTTGGATTAATTCGTCTAGCGCCTCTGAGGAACTGAATGATGAGGTTATGCTTTCCCACGGTGCCGCCAACCACTCTGATATCCAGGTCCGGTTGGGCCAGAGGGGCGCAACTAACAGAACCTGTTCCTCGTCCTCCCTGACCTTGCACATTAACTGCGCGATCAGGCTCACTAGGGGAAACGCATACTTGCGTATGCCCCGAGGCCAGCTGTGGGCCAGTGCATCCGTGCCAAGAGAGCCATCGGTCAGGGAATAAAACAACTGGCAATGAGCGTTCTCGGGGGAAGCAAACAGATCGATCTGGGCCTCCCCGAATCGCGCCCATATCAGCTGGACAGACTCGGGGTGGAGTCTCCATTCTCCAGAGTGAATCTGCTGCCGTGAGAGCACATCGGCTGCACGGTTGAGCATACCTGGGATGTGAATGGCGCGCAGCGACTTTAGCCGCGGGTGACTCCAGAGGAGCAGACGGCGGACGAGCTGAGACATGCGGCGAGAGCGCATACCCCCCATGCGGTTGATATACGCTGCGCCGCCGTACTGTCCGTCCTGACCAGCAGGTGTTGCTGCTCCAGCACCGGAGAAAAACGGCGAAAAGCAAGGAACACTGCCAACAGCTCTTGGCGATTGATATGCCAATGCAGCTGGGTACCTACCCACAGGCCCGCAGCTGCATGCCCGCGACACACGGCTCCCCAGCGTGTGCTGGAAGCATCTGTTGAGACAACAACATGACTGGACGCCTATCCCAGAGGCACACCGGCCTGCAGGAATGAGGGGTCGTTCCAGGGGCTGAGGGTGCGGCGACACAGCGCAGTAACAGAGACTCGGTGTGTGCCCGCATGCCATGCGCGTCTTGGAACTCGATCTTGAAGCCAGTGCTGAAGTGGTCTCATATGGAGCAATCCGACAGCTGCAGCGGAAGCCATATGCCCCAGGAGCCTCTGAAAATATTTCAGTGGGACCACTAACTTGCTGTCGTCTCTGTGCGCAGTCAATTGCTCCCGAGAGTGGGCTAAAATCAGCCAGTCGTCGAGATAATTGAGTACGCGGATGCCCGCGAGCCGCAGGAGACAGAGAGAGCCCGAAGGCGAAGACCTTGTACTGCCATGCACGACCTTCGAACGCAAACCGCAGAAACTGACGGTGGAGTGGAAGAATGGAGACATGAAAATACGTGTCCTTCAGGTCTATGGCTGCAAACCAATCCTGAGGACGAACGCATCCGAGGATGCGCCTCTGCGTAAGCATTTTGAACGACAGCTTGTGAAGGCAGCGATTCAAAACGCGCAGATCTTGGATTGCCCGTGACTCACCGCTCTTTTTGGGTACGATGAAGTACGGGCTGTAAAACCCGCTCTCCATCTCAGCTGGAGGTACCGGCTCGATTGCACCCTTCGCCAGGAGGGCAGCAATCTCCTCTCGCAAGACAGAGGCGGACAGGGGATTGACCCTGGTGAAATACACGCCCGTGAACCTGGGAGGCCGTTTCGAGAACTGTAGTTCGTAGCCGAGTCTGATCGTGCGTATGAGCCACTGCGAGGGGCTGGCCCACGCTAACCAGGCAGGCAGAGCCCTCGCTAATGACGTCATCGCGACAATCGTTGACGTATCCGCGGAGGGGCAGCGCGGAGCGGGTGTGCTGATCCGGGAAGCGCGAGGGACCCGCAGAAGAGCTGGAGGAGAGCGATTTGCTCTGGCTCCGCACCCTGACTCCTGAGAGGGGGCGCTGGCGGAGCATGCAGACCCTGCGAGACCCTTCGCGGTCCGTTTACTGGACTTAGCGGTGCCCTGGGCAGGAGGGGCTACCGGCTTTCGGCGTGCTCGACGCGCCCGCTTCGCCCCCGGCGAGGAGCAGCGGAGGTGGATGGCTCGGCCAAGGATGGAGCGGGCTTAAGGCCCCGCCGATAGATGACATTGCCCATCGCATCCGACTGCTCCTTCACCGCCTTGAACTCCTGGGTGAATTCACAGACAGTGTCGCCGAACAGGCCAGCCTGGGATATGGGCGAGTCAAGAAAGCGAACTTTGTCAACCTCGCGCATGTCTGCCAGGCTTAGCCAGAGGTGGCGTTCCTGGACCACAAGTGTGGACATCGTCTTCCCCAGTGCGCACGCAGCGGACTTAGTGGTCCGGAGAGCATAGTCGGTCGCCGTGCGCAGCTCGTGTAACAAGCCTGGGTTAGACCCACCCTCGTGCAGCTCAGCCAGCGCCTGCGCTTGGTAGCACTGGTAGGTGGCCATCGCGTGCAAGGCGGAAGCTGCCTGGCCCTCAGCCTTGTAAGCTCTAGCTCCGAGGGAGGCAGATAACCTACAGGCTTTGGACGGGAGACCGGGCAGACCGCGCAAAGCGGGGGCGTCACGCGGGCAAAGATTGACTGCAATGGCGCACTCCACCAGCGGGATCGCCTCATACCCCCTGGCAGCTCCACCATCCAGGGTGGTAAGGGCGGAGGCGGACGCAGTGCGGGCAGAGAAAGGTGCCCTCAAGGAATGCGTGAGCCTACTGTGCACTTCCGGGAAGAAGGGGACGAGAGGCTTCGAAGGCTTCGCCTTTTGGTCCTCTACATAACACCCATCTAGTCGGTCCAGCCGCGGGGCTGGGGGATGAACCATCTCCAACCCGACGGCAGAAGCAGCCCGAGTAAGCACGGCCAACATGTCCGCTTCAGGATCTGTTTTGACGACGTTCGCTTGCCCAGAGAGGGTGAGCGGGTCTGGATCATCGTCGGACAATGAAAGCCCACCCTCCGATGCCGCGGAGGACATCTGATCTCCGGTGTCAGCGAGCGTGAGAGCTACAATCTGAGTAGACGGATCACTCCCAGTACCCGAAGCTTGGATGGAGCGATTGGAGGAGCGAGAGGTCCGCGAGCCCTTAGGCGGCGGGTCGTCTCTCGCTGGAGCCCTCAGATCTGCCCGAGCGCCCGTTGCAGAGCAGGAGGCGACAGGGGTGGCTCACTCTCTTACGAAAGCTAATCGCGATCTCAACTGCGTGACGTTCATGGCATCGCAGTG